CCCCCCCCACCTCCATCCCAAAGCTTCTTAATACTACTAGATTCTACTGTATTCATGTTTCCCAAAACAACCAGGATCTCAAGACCTAGCTTTGTAAGGCACTGCACCCCTGCCCTCTCCAGTCAAACTTCTGTCCACACCAATATGTTCCCTTCCTTGAATTCTTGAGCTGGCAACGATAAAAGGGCCTCAAATCATGCCAACAATCTACTGAAAAGGCAGAATATAATATTAAAACGTTAAGATAGTCAAATTGTAAACACCTTCTCGAGAGAGTGATTATCCCTTCTTTGTTCCCTAGTGTTTAGCACAGAACCCAACACCTAAGAGATCCCTCAGAGTTCACTGATAGCTGTTTCCTAAAGGAAACTTGTTTCATCTCATCCAAACACTCAGAGGTAGTGGCTAAGGTGAGGCCAATCACAGAAACCACCATATCCATGTCCAAGTAACAGCAACAGCTCAGGAGTGGCCTCTGAGTGAAGGATACACCGCTAGCCACAGGGGGCTGTGACTCCATTGCAAATGCCAGGTTCCCAGAAATGAGGGAGGGAGAGGAGTGGAAATGTGGCAGGAAGGAAATGAAGCCACAGAAGGGAGGCTGTAGAGATAAAAGGTACATCTTAAGCTCAGATATTTACAAACACTCTACAGCATGTTTGGACGGAAATCATGCTGGAAAACTAAAAGGTAAAGCAATTCAAGAAAATATTTAGAAACGTGCGTAGGCGTGTATTCCAAATAGAAACTGGAGAATATGTCAGCAGTCCTGGTTAGGCTTTGTAATTTAATGTAAACTCTACACATCCTGCATCTCTGCAACCGTAACATTGTGAAAATTAGAAGGAAAAAGTCACGGGCAGTGAGATGGTTCAGTGGTTACAAGAAATTGTTGTTTTTCCATGGAACATAGTTTGATTCTCAGCACACTCATCTGAAAACTCACAATCTCCTGTAACTCTAGTTCTGCGGGGTCTGATGCTCTCTTCTGGCCTCCATAGGCACCTACATGCATGTGTACATCTAACACACAGACACACATACATTTATATAAAATAGAAGACTGGAAATATGGCACATGGTTATGAGCACTGGATGCTCTTGCAGAGGACTGGAATTCAGTTCCTAACACCTATGTGGCAGTTCACAACTGTCTATTACTCTAGTTCCAGGGAATTGATGTCTTTTTCTGGTGTTTGTGTGCAGTAGGCAGGCACATGGCACAAATAAATACATGTAAGAATAGCACTATGCAGTCATTAGGTGTTTAATTCATTCCTAGCAAGTGACATTTTGTTAAAGTGGGTCCATGTGTAATGGTACAAGCTTGTAATCCTAGCACTCAGGAGGATATGGAAGAAGGACTGCACTTTCAGTATAATGTTCAGTGGAAAAGTGTGTGATGTTTGTATTTGGGGTTGTATATCAAGACTACAAACATGTGCACGCACACATTGAGGAGTAAGACTTGCCATCAGTGTTGTTTGAGCCCTCAAATTGGTTCCCAGAAGCAGAATGTTGCAATTATCTAATGTTCCGGAAGAGTTTAGTTCATGGACCAGTTCTTACTGGTCTTGCTGTAAGTACTCAACTTTTGGCTAAATCCAAAGCTCTTATATACTTAAGAGCCTACCCAAGCCCTGTATGATTGGCGCAGTCCACTAGACTGAAACCAGGACCAAGTCTTATATGTACAGTGTGGACTTTTTACAAAACTAATTCATACCAGTCACTCCCCACATGCTATATTTTAGGTCTTTTCCAACTAGCCACATCTGGATACCAGCTCTGAGTAAACTAAACATCTACCATCACCTCAGTTTAAACCTGAGGTAGCAAACACCACTGGGCTCAGCCCAGATATTAGGATAAAGGGCTAGTCCTATCCCAAGCACACCTTAGCATTCTCTCACATCCTCCCAGTGATTAAGAGCCTAAATCTGTCCATCTAAGCGATATCATATCACAGAAGAGTCTGTGAAAACATCTGTGGCTTTATTTAAAGTCCAAAAGTTCTTCCAGGACTAGCATGTAGCCTTGGCCAAGTCCCGAGAAGTACAGGAGAGAGTTACACGTCTATATAACAGTCCTGGAAGCTTATTATCTCATCACAGGATGGGATTTGTTATTATTCTAGTAGCTTTACTATAGCCCCTATGCTAAGCACTTCCATATCTCTTCATTTAATCCTCACAGCAACTCTGACAGTAAGATACCTTATTAATGGGATTTTACAGCTGGGGCAGAAGAGATTTTTAGAGAGCACTAGAAAATGTTCTGAGAGCTCATGATCTGGCTAAGTAATTTAGCATTTGCTGGGCAGTGATGGCGCATGCTATTGGGAGGCAGAGGCAGGCAATTCTCTGTGAGTTTGAAATCAGCCTGGTCTACAGAGTGAGTTCCAGGACATCCAAGGCTATACAGAAAAACCATGTCTTAAGAAAACAAATAAAAAACCAAATAAGTATTTTGAGTTTAAATTTGAAAGCAAAGAGAATTAAAAGAACAGGATAGTAGATAATTACAGAGAATGACTAAAATTCCCCTAAGTTGTTTTCTTTGTGGGTAGGCCTATGTTGTTACACGGTCTAGACTTCTGCTTGGAACTTATGCTAACATGTGTGACTGTCTAGCCACCACTGCCCCAATAAGG